TACTGCATGATGGATCATAAGTCATTGTGCAGTGATAGTCACTGAACGGTGCAGTAGCTTCTGGAATTTGAGCTTCAATAAATTTTTCCCACTGTTGAAACATCTCTGAGACTGGCTTGTTAATGTCACCAAGCCAGTAGACCTTAGCGTATTCTGTCTGAGCAGTCATTTGAAAGTTTATTCCAGAGCTATCTACATAAATTCCTTCTGGTGTGCACCAGATTTTTGTTTTTAGTTTACACAATGCATCTCTTCCTAGTAGATTAACTGGAGTTTGGTCTGAAATCAGAATTGGAATTACGATTTCACTGTCATCAACTGCTAGTCTTACTGGAGCTGTTAAGGGGTTTATTTGTTTTGTTCCCGAGAACCCTGTTGTCTTTACGCTTTTCTCAGACATGGGGAGATGAGTTGCATAATTTGATTTTATGCATGAGTAGGTTGCCCCAGTATCTACTAACATTGGGACCGATTTGCCTTCTATTTTAACATTGATCACTGGTTCTTTATTGGCGTTAGCTATTAAAATTGGTAGTTGCTCCTCCCCCCCAGGGCCCTCCGGGCATCCCTAGAATCCTTGTTGTGCTGCCCATGGATTAACTGGACCTCCTCTTCCCCGGTTTGGTCGTGTTCCACGACCACGCCCAGACCATTCAGGGTTTGGAATTGGATTCGGACAGTCTCGATACAGGTGACCCATCTGGCCACACCCCCAACATGAACCTGGAAGTGGGGGTCGGTTCTGCTGCACCCAGCCTTGTCGGGTTGGGTAGCGATTGGGGAAACGATTTGGAAATTGTCTCTGTGGTCCGGGCTGCTGTCTACCATACTGGTTTGGGTAGACATTGATAACCGGTTGAGATGGAGTTTGAGGCGGGGCCACAGCTGTCTGCAATGCTTGAGTTTGACTGTCACTCTTGCTGTCACTTTTCTCCACTGCCGCCTGGGTCTTCGCCTTGTGCTGGAGATCATTTATGTGCAACTGCGTGAGTTTTCTCTGAGCGCACTTTTCTTGCTCAATCATTTTGTTATTGTCTTTCCGATAGCGGTCCACTGCGTGGACTACATGGTCTCTGAACTGCACATGTGGCATTGAGTCCAGTCCCACAACATCCTCCAGTTTGTCTCGCACAGGAGTCGGGAGAGCAGAAATCAGGGATGTTCGGAACAGAGAAGTCATTATCGGCGTCCCCTCAGGACCCTCCTCCGTCTCCAGCTTCCACCGTCTGAGCTGCCTGTCAACGAATGACGCAGGACTCTCAGTCTCTGAAAGTGGCTCACCTTTCAAAGCTTTGGGGTCAATCCTGTTGGGATATGCTGCTCTTAGTATGTTCCAGAGTGCATTTCTGTATGTGTTAAACTCCGTGCCGTCAGCCATTGGGTCCAGCATCCATTGGACTCCATTGGATGCTAGCAATGTTCCCATAGCTGATGTCCCAACAACTCGAGCCAAAATAGCTTTGAGATCTCCAAGGGCAAGCATTAGCCCAGTTGTCTCCTGTTCGAAGGCCCCAATCCACCTTCCCGCGCCATCTTGAATGTGGGGCAGCCGTGAAACCAAACCAGTGAGGTCGAGGCTCTGCCAGGGAATATAATTAGCTCTTGTGCCCTTAATTAAAATTGGGTACTGACCATCATTAGTGTATCGAATAGGTGGTTTTAAGTCATGTCTGGGTCTCAGCTCACGGCTTTCACTGCTAGGACCTGGTTTTTCCTTCTCCTGAGTCAGACCTGTATTTGGGTCACCACGCTCTGGTGAGTGAATGCCTGGTTTGTAAAAAGGCTTGAAATTTTTCTCCTTGCTTGTGCTAGTGGTGTTCTCCCTAACCTCATCTGAATGTGTGCCTGTGATGTGATTTAAGGATTTCCGCAGGCCTTCAGATATGTCCTGTATAATTTGGTCAACATCGTTTAGCTCATCATGTACATCCTCATCCTTGTTCTCAAGGTCAATCCAGTATGAGTTAGCCTTCGGTTGCCTTTTCAAAAAATCCTTATGTTCTGCAAAACAATCAATCTCCCTTCGTCCTTCTTCCCTTACCGCTCGACGTTCTGTACTGCAATATTTTGGATGCGTTCCACGAGGTGGAGTTGTTTGTTCGAATTCTCTTTCCTCACTTCCTTTTGCATGCTTTTCTTTGCCAGGTGCTTCATCTGATTGCTGTGATGTTGTTAATTTTAAAATTGCATTGTCAACATCTAAACCCTTAGGACCTTTGTCGAATGTGTCGCGCAAATCAAAATCTCCCGTAATTGTAACGGTTCCCAAAAGGGGATACAGGCCCTCTTCTGCTGGGGCCTTCACTTCCTTCTGGGGTTTGTCCAATTTGTCTTTCATTTTAAGAATGGCATGTTTAAAGTTCTGTCTGTAAATCTTTCCTTCATTCCTGAATAAGTCCAGGATCTGAATTTCTTTTTCTCTTTTCTGCTGTCTTTTCTTAGATCCATCTGCTTTATGATCCTGAATTCTCAACTCCAAATTATCGCACGCCACTACGTCAAAAGTGCCTTCAGATGGCCACGGATTGCATAGTTTTCTCGTCCGTTTTGACCACTTCTCTGACATGTGCTTTATTTCTTTTGCTAAAGCCGGATTCTTCGCTGTCAAAATTCCTGCTGGCGTGACAGACATTTTGAAGTTTCAGTGACACTATTATTCCTTTGATTAGTTGACTAGTTTGTTTATTTATAATCTCCTGAAAATAACACAAGAATTGAAAGTTGAAACAGATACTGGTGACATATGATGCTGTGGTCTTGAGTAATCTGTTGTTGCTCTGTTTACACAAATGTTGAACAATTTATCTTCTTATTGTAAATGCCTTAAAATCAAATCTCTTCTGATGTAACACTAAAGTAAAGTTAGTTCAAAAAGCTTTAGTTATTGTTGAAAGAAAAACTTAATGCCTGAAAGTTTTTATAGGTGAACCTTTTAAATCTGGATTCAATATGTATTATTTTCCCTTTTTTCTTTTTTTTTTTTTCCTCAGCAGCTGTGCAGTGGCAGGCTAAAAATAGCCTTATGCTGAAGCTCAAGCTTGTGTGTGAGCAAAACTCAGCCCACAGGGTGGGGTTTCTCTACGCCCTCTGGCTCACCAACCTATCCACACACAGAGGTGGAGTCAGAGGCGGGATCGCCTCTGTACTTCTGTGTCTGTGCGTGTGTATGGAGAGGACAGCTTGTAGGTGGAGCTTTGCGCTTCTGGACTGGCCCCTCTGCTCAGTCTAAACTTGGGTCTGACAGCTCAGGGTGTCTACGGAGAAACGAACACGCTGACGACACCCAAGAGCATTCAGCCTTCAGATTTTAGCAACTCTCATACAGCTTTATAGCATCACAACACAGGAAAAAGTCAACCACAAGAGAGACCGAATCAGCAGAAGAAGAATCAGCTTCTCTCCAGTTCATCCAAGCAACAGCCCAAACAAGATCAGAGTATTTGACCTTTCACGAGTAAAACAACCACACACAGCAAAGCTTTCACACTTGCATAGAGATAAGAAAAACACACTTCAAAGCAATTTGACACCGAAGCATCATTTTATGCCACACACTCAACACGCATAAACATTATTATTTATTTATTAATCATAATCTATATTTCTCATATTTCACATTACCCAGCTGGTAAAAATAGTTATCATGCTTGTGCACTTCAGCATATATTTTTATTTATATATATGTCACTCTAAAACCAATTTTTTTAACTTCTGGTTTTCTGTTTAAAGACTAATCAGAACAAGATCACAGACTTTGAAATTTGTATAACATTAAACATCAAAATTTGGCACTGCAGTGAACAATATTGATCTGTATTACTCCTTTGTTTTTCTTTTTTCCTCTAATTCTCTGGCGCCTGACACACCTTCTCAACTCACGCACCCACTTCTCAACTCGCACACACTCTTATCTCCTCCACACACACACGCTTATCTCACACGCCTGTCCCACCCACAAAACTTCTCTCACAAACACACTCACACAAACAAACAATTTCTGAGCTCTAGAGTTGTTTACAGCCACTTTGCTGCAAACTCTGACGTCAAACATATCTTTGCCAAAAACTCATGAAATTTACCAATCCCCGAGGATTCAACCGAATTACTGGCAAGCTTATCTGTCACAACTTCAGCGCTTTTTCTCAGATCCCAGTCGTTGCCCGGCTTCACCGAGGCACCCTACTGGATCTCAATTGTCGACGTCGTTCACTTGTCCTCACTGGACTTTAATCAGCTGTCAAATTCTATTCCAATTCTCGCTGTCCCAGCTTTTAATTTGTCACAAACTTTGTCCGTCATCAAAATGACTCAGCTGACTTCACACATGTGTGAATAATTTCACCGCTGCTCTGGACAAGCGCCTCTTCTTGTTATTATAACTTCTAATTTATGAGAAGGGCATGTTTTTTTTTTTTTTTTTTTTTTTTTTTTTTTTTTTTCTCTCAGACCAGTTCTCAGTCCACGGAATAACTTCCAAAATTGAACAAAAACTGTTCTTACCTAGGGCCCAGAAGTTTAAATTCCGTGGGCTGCGAAACGATCCGAAGAGCACACCTCTTCTCCACCTTCGTGGTCGCCAAATGTGGTTCTTTTTCCTTATCAAAAACAAGAAAGAGACAGGTTTTGTCCAAACTCAGCGGGGGGCATTTATTTACACAACTCATCCATACATCACCAACACTTCACAGGGGACAGCGTCCAGCTTCGATCTAAACACCTCGGCTGGAGATCCTTCTGCAAAAGCCCACTCTCCTACACCACGCAGCATCAGTTATACTATTCAACCCCCACCTCCCTTTTGATTCTGAGAAATGATGGGGTGCTACTTCCACATCCTAATATGGTCAAAAGTAGTTGAAACTTACATAAGCTGGGCAGATCAACATGTTTTTTGGAGCATGTACTCAGCAGCTGGGCTGCCTGATAACCGGCTGGCATTGATAAGCAACATGTCAACATGCAGTACACAAAACACTGCTTTTAGCTCCTACACACTTAGAAGTCTCTGCACTGACCAGGGATCAGATTTCAGGTTGTTTGCTGAATGTTTCCATAGTAACCAGTTAGACTTAGTTGTTAAGTTAGACACTGTGTTTATGTGCACTGGTGAAAGCGTTCAGTCAACCCAGCATCTCAAAATGGTAGAAGAGAAACAGCATTTTTCTGTGAGCAGCGGTGGTAAATGGGTGAGGAATTCTTCAATTTATCACCAAATACAAATCCTAACTCTCAAACCAGGATTTTTATCTAATTTAATTTAAATGTTCATTTAAGTTTGCTCATTCAGATGTTTCTGAAAGCGAAGCAATGGGAAGAGAAACTTGTACAACCACTGGACTCATGCTGAGTCAGCTCGGGACATCACCTCAGGGCTTGAGCTTGGAGCGGTTTCCTAAATGGAAAACTCATCAGGTTTGTCTATAACATGATGCCTGGCTCTCCCAACTTTACAGGAAATTACAAATTTTTTAAAACTTATCTTCTGGTTTAATATTTTTTACATTTCAAGTTTTCTTCACAGAAATCTAGAGAGTTTCCACACTCTCGCCATGACAACAAGCATGCTTTAAAGGACGACATCACAATCTTCTCTGATGTATGGAGCGTAAAAACAATATTCGATAACTGCTCAGATCCATGTTTTGTTTATAGTGACCTGTATCTACTCTGTTGGTTTACATCAGGGTGTGGGACTGAGGAAATGTCCTGATAATCTCAGACAGCATAATTCCCATTTCTGCCTCCGTGACAGTGGAGCTGAGACCCAGGTCAGCCACAGTATCTACAAAACAGACTTCACGTCAACGGAGGTCAGCGATGTTCCAGAGAGAAGTAGGCGGTTCCCTCGAAATCACAAACAGAAGTCAGCAGAGGCAGCAAAAGCTCAGGCAGGAGAGCAGTTCATGTGGTTCGAACAACACAACGTGCACTGTCCAGACTCTCTGTAAATGCTGGCATCTGCCAGAAGATCAGCACCTTCAAAGATCAGAAATATTTGAATGGACAGGGAAAAAAAACCAGAATAAAATAGAACAGCTTATCTTATTTGATGATTCTGGAGCTTGAGCTGGTTGGACCTTAACGTGTCATGTAAGCAAAGCTTGCAAAATTTCCATCTTAAAATGTGCATGAAACATTTAGAAGATTTTGATTGTTAAGCTCTATCTTTACATGTTGTTTTAAAATTTTCATTTTACAGCAGGCTTGAAAACATTCTGAAAGGTTCTCGTGCTTACAAATAGAAAACATTCCAATAAAATCTGATTAAAAGAAAAATACTTCTAACTTCATTATGATGCATGAAAGTCAAGTTTTTCACGTAGCAGCGTGTGGATCAGATCTGAATCACTGCTGAACCTTTTTACAATGCAACTTCTTTTTATGCAAAGATGAAATTCAGGCATTTGGGAATCTATATCACAGATTTTTTAGATTTCTTTTTTCATTTTAAATGCCCTAATAGGAATAACATATTGAAAACAATGTCACTTTTTGTTTTGAAATAATACTTCATTATTAATGTAATTTGCTATTTTGCCAGAAGGGGGCAGCATGTTCATATTCTTCTGTTTTCCTGGCCAAGTTGCTGGATAGAACAAATAAGAGCCAATGTGTCATGTGCTTTAAAATAGAACAAACATGTGTGAAAAATAATTTCCAAAAGAATCCAGCTATTTGATTCTGTTCAATTAAATCAGAGCGTGTCCAATAAATTACGCCTGACTTGAGTCATGGTGGATGGGTTTGTTACGCCCCAGGGCCCAAAAGGATGTTTGTGCACGTAGCCAGTAACTGACAGGAGGAAGTGTGGGAGAGTTGGTGTGAGAACACTACAAAAAATAAAAATAAAAAAGTGAAGACTACAGAGTATCTACTGACCAGCTGCTTTTTTTTTCCTTTTTTGTAAGTGCTCGCAGGGATTTGAGCTTTTCCCACAAGATTTCCATCAGCTGTTGGCCTAAAATCACATCAAGAATCAACTGTAGAGGCTTGTTACCTTTAAAAGGAAAAGTAAACTAACAATCGATTTAAAATGCTTGTGATGTTAACATTTTATTTACCCACCACTGCCCAAAAAACTGGTCCCTGGTTGCAGGTGCAGGAGTAAATAAGAGGATTATAATGACCACAGTCGCTTAGCTCTGCTTCAGCTCCATTTTTTTTTGTCTATTTTGGTGGACTAGTGTGGCTTAAATGAATCTAAAGTGCAGCAGCTGTGCTTAAGAGGGATGGAAATGCTTCTCAATGAAGCTGTAAAATACATTCTCTGCAAAAAGCCTCAGACACTTGATGATCAGAAGCTCTGTAGGCCTGTCACTGCACCAGCAAGGCTTCTTATGCTTCACCGAGCAGGGAACACTCTTAGGAGAGTGAAGCTGGGTGTCAATAAAGTTCAGCATGTGACATTTTTGGCAAGATGCACGTTAGAGGCAAAACTACAGGTATATGTAAATACAATTGTTTGGTGGAATATCAAACCTCCTTCCAAGGACAAAAGACACGTGTTCAACCACCAAAGCCTTGTACCTCATGAATATTAAACCAGACACTTTGAATACTACCTCTTTGGTGTTCGGAGGCTCTAGTCTGGATTCTTACCATTTGCTGTGATTTATTCGCAGGTGCACGAGCCTCTTTGATGTGCTGAGTTGAGAGGTTTTGCACCTGTGAGAGAGAGAGAGAGAGAGAGAGAGAGAGAGAGAGAGAGTGCTTTGAAAACAAGAGGAGGATTTGCCAGACAGTCAAAATAACAGCAACAGAAGGAAGTATTATGTTGCCATGGCGCATCGTGTGCATTTTCATCTTAAAAAGGCTGCTATGGTGTTTTGACATGCTCAGCTGTGTGCAAAAAAATTATTTTGTTGTCAATTTAGACCTACGTCCACCCCCAACCCCCTCGCATCAGTTTTGACATTGTGAGATTGTGCATTTTGTCCATTACCTAAGATAGGGCTTAAGAGTGTTGCCATGGAGATATCAAAGGACGTATTTTTTGATGTTCTTCTGCCAATTATAACTAATTTCTACCACTTCTTATGTCTTATGCATAAAGATGCCAAGGGATCAGTGAGGCTTTCATTTATGTTCAACATTTCATCTAATAAAAGTCATGCTTTCCAAATAAAGTCCAAAACAGCCTTTTAGTTGAATCCTGCGGGTATGTTGGATTATACCGTTTTTTCCAAATCCTCCAACAGAGAGGCGTCCCCTTTGGCGAGTGTAGTCCTGTAATGGTCAGAAGCCCTCCAGAGTCTTAAGGTAGTGATAAAGGTGGCTGGTTATCTCATTTCCACTGAGAACCAGATAAAATCCCGAGAACCTTCCCATCAGTCGAGGAGTTTGTTCAGCAGAGATAAGAGTTCCCCTGCCAAAACTCAAAAAAGGTCAGTGTTTGTGTGTATTTGTAGGTTTATAGCACTTTGAAGTGTTCTACTTCCAATCTTGTCCCTGTCCTTGCTGTGAGCTTTGCCAACCCTGCTCCAAGCACCGCCTCAGAAGATCAGACCAACGCTGGCTCTACTGCCTCCATGTATTTTTTAAACCTCAGGTCTATACAGTCTGCATGCTAATTTGTGTGTAGGTGGTGAGAACAATCACATTAGACTGGCTGTAAACAAAAACCTAAAAGGCATCAGCATGCTCAAGTGTCCCACCAGGGAGATAGCAAGATAGTAGTTTATACAAGGAAAGATGATTTAATAATTCATTGTTTATATGAAGGAGATTGCTTTGAATTTGTAACCAGTTCTGCTGCAGCCACTGATTAGCAAATGAAATGTCTAATGGATGGTTTCATGGAATTAGATGGCTGATTGCTGGTTTTCAGGCAGAATTAATTGTTTTGTTTTTGTATTTTGTTACATAAATTAACAAAACTAAGCGACATATTTAGGCCTCTTCCATTTAGACCTTAAAGAGCAAGTCACGCCCTACCAGAGTTTTACTCCACTCCCACTTCCTGATTGAAAAATGCAACAAATGCTGTTTGCTGGCAGACCGAGAGGGCAGAGCAGCTAACAAATACACACGCAGGGCTAGTTCGAGTTGAGCAGCGCCTCGCCTGGAAAATAGACGAGAGCAGACGTACGCAGCAGGGGGAGTGGCTGAAAGTCGGCGGACGGATTTCCCTACATGTGTAGCTCACGGGTGACGATGGATGAAGATATCGCGTTAGAGTTCATACTTGTTTAATTTTTCATTTTAATTCTGGTGCCTGTTAGCAACCGAAACACATCCTCACATGCTTGTGGATAATATAATGCATATGGAGACATGACTGTAATAATAAGTAAAGGTTATCAGCTGTAGGTTTAGTGTGCTCACAGGAAACGTGACAAAAGAACACAAACCACATTTCTCTTTATGGCCTGTATTGTTGTCATCATCAACGTAACATGATTTACAGAACACATGTGACCAACTAACATTTCATGTTCTACCACCGGATGTTCGGATCATAATGTGAACCAATCAGATCTTAGATCAGGTGAGGGCCAGGCGTTTCCCGTCATCCCCTAGGTTTTACAGCCGAGGGAGAGCAACTGCAGCACCTTGGTCCAAAATCTGCGGCCGCCTTGATCTCACGAGGTTATCGTTGCCTACGTATGCATGACGTCAGAGCAAGTCGGCATCAAGTCGGACACAAATCTAACCGGCATGCACTGCTCGCCGATCACCGCTGATATAATCTGCGCAGAACTGGCTCATCTCGAACAAGCCCACAGGCTCACAGTGACATTGTGACATCATAATGTAGCTCTTAGCCAATAGCGATGGCAGATTTAAATTCAAATGCAGTGAAGAGTTTTTACCTGAAGACAGTACAACACTGGCAGTTTTAGGCAGAATATTTAAATTTTAACTAAGATGCACCAAAGTGCCAAATTATTGACTACACGTGTCTTCAGCACGATTGTACACTCATTTATATTGTTTATCAGCAAAAAAAAGTTCATTTGGGGGTGACTTGCTCTTTAAGAAATCTATACTTTTTCGTTAAATTGATTTTTACTTCGTAGTTTCAGCTACTTAGTACACTGAAGTACAGCATGACTAATGATAAATCTGTAATTTCAGGTTTTGAGGGTTGTTTTCAAACAAAATTATAATTTTAAAGTTATTTGAGAGGTTGTGATTTCTTTGTCCTATGAACAAACATGCTATGACAAATCAGATATTTCATTGCACAAAACACATCTCAGACATTAGCTTGGTTTGGATTGAAGCATGTGTATAATATCATTATGTGTTTTCAAAGTACATTAGAGGTTCAATCTCCTGGCTCCATCTGTACGACTCAATCATAACTGCAACAGAACCAACATGTTATCTTATTTGACATGCATTGCAATTGTTCCAAAGCAGGCTTTGGAGCCAGTGGAACTGTATTAGATACAGTGGAAAGAATCTCCAACAATACAAGGGCTTTAATTCAGGAAATTAGATCATAATTATATATCAGCAAGTAAAATTAATCACATTGGACACATTTGATAATTGTAGCTGAAACATTTGATCTAAGTTCTGTTTTTAGATATATTATTTGCACAACTGTATACAGAGAAGACTATAGAGCCCTTTTCAGATAGACATTCTGGAATATGTGTGGACAATTCAATCCGTTTTTTAACCGGAACTGTGTTTTCAGACACACCGCTTTTGTACTGGAACTTGTCCTTTCGGCTGCCTTCACACAGCAGGGAAAAGTTCCAGATGTCTGGGGGAGGGGGGGAGGGGATCAGACTTATGTTAAGCATAATTCTGCGCACACAAAGTTGCATAAGAGACCTGGATGATGAAGCTCAATGGTTAAATGAATCACGGAAGCAGTGTGATGCGCTCCGTCGCGCGTCTAGACGGTACCGTAGGAGGCGAGCTGCCATGGTTCGCCGCATGCTACAGCAGCGGGCTATCTAGGTGCGCACAGCGTCCCCCGGTCCCCTTCTCCTCCCTGTCCGGAACTCGACCTCACCAGTCTGAAGCAGCCACCTTGTCTGTAACAAGTCCGGACCTGTTACTAGGGGCGTCGTCCGGTTAAATTACGGAAAACGTTATCTGGATGTTTGTATTCAGACACAAAGGTCTTACGGACACAGTCCCGAACATTTCCGTTTTTCATGGCCTGTCTGAAGGGGGCTTCAGTGATAGTGTGATCTGCATGGAAGAATGGGCCAAAATACCAGCTAGAAAATGTGCAAACCTGGTGTTTTGGCCCATTCTTCCATGCAGATCTTCTATACGGCTGTGACGTTTTGGGACCATCTTTGGG